CCGCCGTTGCCGTGGGACGCCTAATGGCGGGCCCGCGCGCGCGCTCCGCCTCCTGGCACTCGCGCACGCGCGCCCCGCCGCCGCGGCCGCCCGGGCGCACGTGGCGCCCGGGGTGCCGGGCTCGCACGTGGGCGACGGGCGCGCGCGTGCGGCGACGCACACGGCCCCTGACATCCGTCTCGCCGCGCCTGCCGCACCGCACCCGCGCGCGCCGACCTGCAGGTGTCCCCTGTCCTTGGGTTCTTGGCGGTCGGAGTCGTCTTGCAGCAGCTTGGGTGAGCCCCCAGCCGCACCCCGCAGCCGCGCGCCTCCCCCCAACCCCCTGCTGTCCTGATCCCCCTCGTCCCCCTGGCCCCGGCGCTGCGCGCGCGCCCATGAACGCCCGCTTGCTGCGGAGCCTCCGCCCCGCATAAGCTCACGCAGCGCGCCCCTGCCGCCCCCTTGACCGCCCGTTCTTGATTCTATGGAACCTTGAACCGCTCTCACCCCTGGAAAAGTAAAAATCGTCCAAGATCTGGCCGGGTCGCAGCGCTGCAGCGCACCCTGCAGCGCCGACTCCCGCTCTTCTGTTCGACAAACCGACAATTTTCGCCGCTCGCCGGCCGCCGGCCGCTGCTTGCAGGCTCTTAAAAGACCCCGAGGATGTCGAGCGACTCAGCGAGCTGGGGGTGCTCTTCCTGCTCTTCGAAATGGGCCTGGAGCTGTCGCTCGACCGTTTGAAATCGCTGGCCAAGTTCGCGTTCGGCATGGGCAGCCTGCAGGTGCGCGTGCACGCACGCGCGGCGGTCCCGGCGGCGGCGCGGGGCGCGGGGCCCCTGTTGCGAGGAGCGGGGCGCGGCGGGCGCCGTGGGGCGCGGGCGCTCAGGGGGCGGTCCCGAGCTTGGGTCTGCAGGGGAAAGCTCCGCGGCCGGCCGCGTGGACACGGGCAGCCTGGCCCCTTCAAGTGCAACGACTCGCACCTTCGTCTGTTCAGCACCCCTTTCCGCCCCGCCTCCCCCCGCCCCCCAGGTTCTCATCACCGGCCTCGTCTTCGTGGCCTTCGCGCTGCCCGCCGGCTCAAGCCTCGGCACCCGTTTCCTGGAGATGGTGTGCGGCGCGCCTGCCTCCCTGGTGTCTATCCGCTCGCTCGACGAGGCCGTGGTCATTGCGGCGGCGCTGTCGATGAGCAGCAGCGCGTTTGTGCTGCAGCTGCTGTCGGAGCGCGGGGAGACGCCGACGCGTTTCGGGTCGGCGACGCTGGGGATCCTGCTGTTCCAGGTGGATGGGGGCGGGTGTGTGTGTGGGGGGGGGGCGAGATGCTGGGG